AACTAAAACTCAAAACAAATACATGAAGCTGACGCAAAGCGTGGGAGAACCACGATTGGTTTTGGTTTTACTTCCGATTGGATCATGATGACAAACTTGCGCGAATTGTTAAGCCAATCGTGTAGCGTGGCAACGCCAAACCAGAACAAATGCGAATTACTCTCCACATTTAAGTCACACAACACTCCAATACACAACGTCTAATGCAAGACTAGCTGAACTAAAGAAATTTCGGATTACTTTTAACCCTCAATTGAAAACCGATCTACGAGAAAACTACGGTTTTAGTTCGTTGTATTACTTGAGCAGTTTTATTCATCTAACAGCACCTTTGTATTCAAGTTATCTTAATGTTGCTAATATTTTTGAGGCCGTCATAACCGGGAAAAGAGAAGACCCCGCCCGTTTTTCTTTCGCCCCCACCAACAGAGAGCAAGGAACAGGTTATTAATAGCAATCTTGAGCATAACGCCACCATAGCAGCACCACTGAGTCAGTAGGTTGTAACTCACTCATCCCTCCCCGGGTTGGCAGGTGTAACGTCTTGAGATGACTTTTCCACAGCAGCACTTGTGGGTCAGTGGATTGTAGCTGACCAAACCGCATCTTAGTGGACAGGTGGAATACTTGGGGATGACCTTATTATAACAGCACTTGTAGGTTCCCATTCAGATCTTGGTCCGATTCTACGTGAAAAAAGTACAACGTGTGATGAAGTCCCTGGACGGTTTTATCATGACAAGTTTTTTTACTTTTCATGTTCGCGAAATCCTCTTTGATTGATGCAGCGAGAACGCGTTATGAGTCCTCATTAGCTCTTTCCACCGCTAACGTTTCTCATTTTCATTACAATATAATCCAGCCACGATGTACATGAGCCAATTTCGAGCTAGAAGCCTGCAGCGCCGTGGGTGAAAGAGTGAAATGGGCGTGAATCGGAGTGGCGGTGTTTTGACACTACACGGTATTTTACACTTTAGAAACAAACGTTACTTGGTAGGGACTTACTGCCATTACAAGCTGAAAAAAGTCTCAACCATATTTGACGCCGAATTTCTCCTACCTCTGTTCTTCCCTTGCAAAGGATGGCCGTCTAAATTCTCCATGACCTTTTTCTGACCCTTGGTTAATCCTACAGGATTAGATGCGTCGCCTTGCATTTGAGACAATTACAGCTGCCAGAAAGACGGCCATCCATCGTAAGAAAATAGCCATTCCTAAGCCCTGATCGAAATATGTACGTCTTATACCTCTAAGATCTGGAAAACATGTGTTTTTGATTGATTACCTGCTGGAGTATTTCAAAAGCGTATAGCGATATCTTTGCTTAAGGAAATTTAAGAATAATTAACAATCGAGGTAAATTTATTTGGTGTATTTTCTATATTATATACAAATGCGCTTTAGCGAGGTTCTTGGCTTGTTTAACTGCATTATTCACGAAACTATTGGACTAAGGAAAGTAAGGGCTGCTGATGATATATTCAAAACTACATTCGCTGGCAACGCTTTTGAATTCCCTGCTTGCAAATTGTGCATCATCATCCGTTAGCAACTTGTATGGAATGCCATGGACAGCAAATTGGTGTTTCATCTTCTTAATCACAGTTTGGACGATAAGTTGCCGTGGGTATTCATCGCAAACCAACCATGGCTGGAGCCCAGTTAAAGTCGACGAGTATCAGGTACTGCAATCCATTCCAGTCAAGTATGTCTGCACTCACAAGGGACCATGGAAGGTCTGGGATTGCGTGATTAAGAAGCGGTTCTTTCTGCTGGAGGGGTTTAACACTTGCAAGACTGGCACGAGATTACGGCATGGATTCTCTTGCTCCTCTCTTGGTAGATTCTATTCCAGGATGTCCCTTGACGAGAAAAGCTTTAAGTGGACCCAGCATTTTTAACGAGTGATAGCTTAGGCTAGAATGAGTTATAGCGGTTAGTTGGGGAAAAAAATAATTCATCCGCACGGTCACTCAGTCAGTCAGTCAGTCAGTCAGTAAGTCAGTCGTTGGGTCGTAAACTATTTTTTGGTGGTTATTCCGCAGACTAGGGTATTTCGCGAGTGGCGACATTTGCCTGACTACTGTGAACAAAATGGCTGCCAAAGCGATGAGCTGATCTTCGTGCTTAGAGTCGAACAAGTGCTGCTAAATTACAGACTATTTGGCATACAACAAAGGTGGGTGTATAATTCAATCCATCGAATGCTTTGTCAGCGACCTTTAACCAAGACTTCAACGCTCGAGACGTGTTTTTCTTCCGCGAATTATTTCAATTTTCATGCAGTCTCATTTTCGTTTATATGGCTTGAAATTTTTATTTTCCGATACCTATATTAACACAAACCATCCGTTAATGGCTCGAATGAAGTCTGCATTCTGCGTTTAAAGCACAGCGGGATGAAGAGTAAAAGAGTTTATCCTCATCGTCATGATAAGACTTGTTCCTAAGAAAACTCCTCACAAGCTATTTTTAGGGTCGTACCCAGTTCCCGGCGGATAATAAGATATATTTTTAAACAATAATCATACTTTCTTCTGCAACGATGTGTGAAAAACAATTACATGATTCGATTTCTCCAGCAATCCAGAATAATCAAGGTCTCGGTAAATGTTTACAGTCTAAGAATTCGGCTTGGGCTCATAACACTTGCCTCGCCCTTGATAATTCTAGATATCACGGAAAGCTCATCGAGTAATTGTTTATAATCAATTGGCCAACAGGCTGATGGGCTCATAACCAGGGAGTCGTAATACTGGGGTGGAGAAGAGTTGATTACATCCGGGGTTTCGTATTTTATTTATACGGGTTATCCAGGGATGATAAACTATTTACATCCTGTGACCATGATAGTGAGCTAAGATCGACCCATTTTCTTCACAAATGCTAGAACAAATGCTAAAAAAGCAGCGTGGTTTGTACAATGATTTGATTAGAGTGTATGTGAAAAAAATTGTGTTAAATTCTTAGAAGTAGTGTAATCTGTTTGAAGTAATGGTACAAGCAGAAATCCAGAAATACGTCTGTTATTGCAGTCCTCATTTTGAATTTTACGACGAATTAAGACGGACCCTTGCTTCTTATTGGTTCACGGTATGGCTTCAAAAACATTAAACGAAGATGTTACGTTGTTACGTGATGTTAGATTTTTGTCAGAAGTGGAAAACCTTTCTTTTCTAATACTACAACAAACAAGTCACGATTGTAATTTCAATTTATTGCCACTCTTAATTACATATATATTACTATTACAATTGCTTTTAACGTGGAAATTGAAACGCTTTGTCACAGATAACGCTTTTCAGTGGTTTTCAGGGAAAAGCGCTCATGAAACAGATCACTGTGTGACGAAATGCCATTCTACCACCTAAAGGGAAACTAATGTAACAGTTTTGATTTCTTGTTATTTCTTCAGGAGTTTTACTCCAGTTGGCAGCAGCTCAACATTTAAGTTACCTTAGAGAGAGGCCGTGGTAACCGTTCTGAGTACTTTTGAGGCATCTTTATCTAGAGCTAAAGCATTCGTACTCAGTGGCTTGTACTTGACAACTAGTACTTAATTATTGGTTTGCAAATAGCAAACTTGAGAATAACACGACCATGGCAGCACTTATGAGTGACTGAGCTGTAACTCACTAAACCACATTTAGGTTGGCAGATGAAACTTTTGGGGATGACCTTGCGATAGCAGCACTTGTGGATCAGTGGATTGTAGCTGACCAAACCGCATTTGGGTCGACTGCAGATTGAACGTTTAGGGATGACTCTGAGATAGCAGCACTTGTGGGTATATGGATTATAGCTGACCAATCCGCATTTGGGTGGACGGCAGATTAAACGTTTAGGGATTACTTTGCGATAGCAGCACTTGTGGGTAAGTGGATTGTAGCTGACCAAACCGCATCTTTTTGAACAGGTGGAATACTTGGGGATGACTTTATTATAACAGCACTTGTGGGTCAGACGGTTGTAGGTTACTAAACCACATCTGGGCCGACAGAGGGAAAATTTGGGAATTCGTTTTCCATAGCAACACTTGTGGATCGATGGATTGTAAACCGCTATCCCGCAACGAACATTAATCTTTGGGTCTTCCTCGGGGGTGTCTTTTGCTTCATCAAGATCATTTTCATCCAGTTCTTGGTTTGGTTCTACAGAATGGAGAGTGATTGCATAATTAATTAGTATAGTTAGAGCTTGGAGGTTTAAAGCTGAGTGACATTGCCTGGAAATAGTGTGTATATCATAGATATTACAGTTTTAATAGCCTTTTGTTTTATACTATTTGGAATTGATTAAATGGTTGTTGACATTAAAGTAGACAGTTTCCAAGGATGGAGCGGTCTTGTACATGTTTAAATTGTATGCTGTTCCAGTGAACTGTTTTAGGACTCACCCTTACATAACTAAGTCACTAACAGACTGCCAGTTGTGTTCAGAACGCTATGATTTGTTTGGTAATAATAACTGGACCGAGTGGAGTACAATTCAGGGAGTACCCGAGCGAGTAATTTCAAACACAGACGATCGCAAAGCACGAGGCCGGTTTGAAATTTCGAGCACGATTACTCCCTGAATCGTACGACTCGAGGTCCAATTACTAATTGATCGTATCTATAAAAAATTCCGAAATTAAAGTCTTTTGAGAATTTCGTTTAAACAAAAAAGGCAGTAGCGCTTTCCATAAGCTTTAACAACTGTAGGGAAAATTGAGAGGAAAGCCATTAGAGCGCGCAGAATTGATGTGTGAATCACATGAGTATCCAATTGCAGCTATCAAATTACAAAAAGTTGAAATTGGATACTTGTGATTGGACACTCACGCGATCGTGCGCCGATTGCGTGACTGATAATATACATGGAAAATTACTCGATTCTAATTGGCTGAGAGCAATGCAGTTCAAGTGTAACAACAGTGCAAAAACTGTAACACCAGTGGAAATTACACATCGTAATTCTGGATTATGATTGGCTGAAAGACAATAGGGAATTTTCTAAGCCAATGATATCACGTAAATTGATGACGAAAATTTTGTGCGGAAACTTTGAAAAAAGTTTACTCGAATGAGTAAAGATGGCTTCGAGAAAGATCTTCCGGCACTTGCTCCACACGAATTTTCCCATGTTTATATTATTAATAAGTAATCATACGATTAAGCTCGTTCAGTTTGGAGTTAATTTACACTTTTTCGATTTTCGCCAACGCGGCTCGTGCAATTTCAGCTTTTTGAAAAACTCACTCGTGCAAATTAATTCCAAATCGAACTCGAAACCGTATGATTTCCTATGCAAATAGGCGCGCGGAGAACCAATCACGATCGAGAATTTTGTTATAGATACGATTATCCTTTTAATTGTTATGGTTTGGTTATAGATTTTACTTAATCGAAAACCACTCTATCACTATATAACTGTTTTTCCGGTTTTCGTCGGTTTTCTTTGACTTTGCCGGAATTTTCTGATAAGTTTTCCAATCAACGTATCTACCTGAGTCTTCAGCAATATCATCGGTTTCATCTTCAGCCCCTTCAGAGGCGGCATCTTCATCGGGATAATCTTGTTCATCTCCCCATTCTGCACCTTCTTCGCTGTCTTCTGGAGAAATGGGATTTTAAATACGAATGACTCAGTTAGTCTTACTTGACTATTTCGTATGTTTTTCAGCAACTTTTTTTTTTTATCACTGAATATGTTGTTACCTGTGCTTTCACCCTCAGTAATGGCACTGGTTTCATCTTCAGTGATGGCATCTTCGGGATAATCTTGTTCATCTCCCCATTCTTCGCCTTCTTCACTATTGTCTGGAGAAATGAGAATTAAATCGTGAATGACTCAGTCAGTCTTATTAGTTTGTTTCGGATTTTTTCATTAGCTTTTCAGTCACTGAATATGTTTGTACCTGAGCTTTCACTTTCAGCAATGTCACTGGTTTCGTATTCAGTAGGGATATCTTCTTCAGGATAATCTTGTTCGTCCTCCAATTCTTCGCCTTCTTCGCTATCTTCTGGGAAAATATAAATGTCACGATCCCGGAATCAGCACAACAACACATCTTGTTTTGTCATTATTTCCTAAATAATCTATGCAGCCACGGGGAAAGTCAACTCTCTCGAGGTGGATGGGATTCGCCCCGAAAAATTGGCAATAACGTGTGCTTGCTTACCCCTACCCTATTTCTGAACAAACTGTGCGATTTTTCAATCCCCTTTTCCAAACCTGACCCGAAGACCAAAAGATCAATAAGCCATTTCAGAACCAGGAACGGATTTCCCGATGTTAATGGCATTGCACTTGATAAGATAAAAAGAAAAGGAGGACTCCTGGGAGAGACAAAGCTCAAAAACCATCAAACCGTTGGATCCGCAAAGGCTGGCACCTACATAGATTATGTAATATGAGGATAACTCTGTGCTGTTTATTTTTGTAATGTTTGCAAAATAAGATCAATTATTTTATAATTTTGAGTTGCGTTTGCTTCTGGTTGAATCATTGTTTTGCAAGCGTATTTCGTAGACGTTTTTTCTTATTACTTAGACAAATTTTCGTTAAATATATACCTGGGTCTCCTTTCTCAGCAGCGTCAGAGGGTTCGTCCTCAGAGGAATCGTTTTCTACCGGATTATCTTCTTGTTGTTCGTCTTCCTCGTTTTCGACGATGTCGTCTGATAGAGAACGTATAAAGTTACGTACGACGCCACAGTACACGAGGTTCAAGTTATAAGCTAGCCTCCACAAAGTTAACGAACGAACGAAAGAACGAACGGAAAACGAAGAAACGACGGCCGGAAACGAACGAACGACTGAATTGAAGAAACTAAAAGAAGACTTGCAAGGCGAAACAAAAGAACGAAGACGAGCAAAAGAACGACAAATGAATAGAGAAAGAATGAAATAACGAATAAATATAATGAATGAATTAATAAAGTAATCATTTATATAGCGCTATTTCTAATAAAAGCACATAACAGAGAATGAAATCAACTTCCAAATATCCAGCTCTAAAATTAAAAGGAAAGAGTAAGTCGCTCGGTCATTTACGGAAAACTTGGAAAAATAGCTGAATTAAAGTTACAATTTCAACGCTATTGATACTAAGCTGGTAACTTTTTTCAGTTTGCTTCTTTATCACCGCACTGTAAAGTGATCACCTCGTTTTTTGATTCATTTATAGAATAGAAATATAAATGAGTGACCAACAGAAAATGAAGTTAAATTCAAGCTAAACAGAAAAAGTGATCGAAGATGTTTTACACAAAGTCTCTCTCACCTCTGCTCTCCCCTTGAAAAGCAGGCTCGTTTAAATTCTCGATGGCATCTTCTTGATTCGTTGTTAATTCTACAGGACTAGCTGCGTTGTCTTCCAAAGGTTCCGCATTTAAGACAGTGAATACTGTCAGCAGGACAGCAATCCATCGTACCACGCTAGCCATTCTTGCCTCGTGTTCGGAATATGCATCTCTTAACGGAGATCACACCCTTTTATACCATTCAGAAAAGGAAAAGCAGCGGGGTCTCTTTTCTGCAATGACGCAAAATGTGTCACCTACTTGAGTATTTTTAAAGCTCTAAGCAATATCGTTTCTAAAGAAATTTTACTTAATGAAAGGAAACCAATTAAAGAACGTTAAAAGAAAATTCCTTCTATCAATAGATTTTAGCAGTAAGGGATAAAAACGATATAAGCCATTTCTCCGTTATGTGGACCTATGATCTTTTATGCAAAAGTGAGATCTTTTGGTAAGGGGCATGGTGGAGGAAAGACGGGGAAAACAAGCTACGTCAGCTTAAACAATCGCCAGTTTGGCTCTATCAGTGTAATGCAATGAAGAGTACAGATTGTTTATGTAGAATGTTACCATCGAATTGTTCTTCCTCAAAATATTGGGATATTGGTCTCGACGTTTAATGGCCCACGCTACTTATTGTAATGAAAATTGCACGTGGGCGCTGAAAAACAAGGCCATTGCCCGCTTTCTTAATTGTCCAAGAATTAAGCGAGGTTGCGTTTTTGTTAAGACAAAAAAAAATACAAAATACGCAGACTGTTATATATAGATCGATGCCGGGAGATTCCGTCATTTGTGAAAACGATTGAAGTTCAAAATATAGCACGTTACAGCGCATTATAGACTTACAACAGACAAAATGGCTGTTTTCATTTAGTTGAAAAAACGCTGCGAACTCTTATTAAAGTATTTTAGTTGACTAAAAAAGGCTGCTTTAGCCTTTACAGTTTTGTCAGCTGACAGAACTGACCTCCCAAGAAAGTTCGATATTTTCAGATAACAATAGGGAAAATATGAAAATAAAAATATCGTAAACCACGTCACCATTGCGATTTAGGATTAATAGCAATGGAGTGATTTGTCACACTCCACAGCTCTTAAATTGTCTGCAAATATTTTTTATTGAAAATTGTGGCAACGTTTAAGTTGTTTCAGGGGTATTTAAATGAGTTACCCAGAAGTTGTTTTTTAAAACAAAGTAATTCCTTTAATTTTTGCAACTAGATTTTACACAGTTCAGCCTGAGTTGTCTCACCAAAAGTGAAAGCAGTCGACAAAAATGCGTATTAAACTCAGAAGAGGTCTGAATATTGATGGACATATGGAAGAACTTCGTGATTGTCCACAGAGAGAGGTTCATCTCTATCAGCAAATTTAAGTCCGCCTTTTGTGTTTTTTTTTCCCCTACAATGTTGAATTTTATATTCATTTGACAACTTTTTTTAACTTGAATAGATCTTGGTATTCTGCTGACTAAAGGACACTACCGAAATAAAACGTTAGGAAAAATTCCACATCGGCATCAGTAAAAGAAACAGTTATGTTGCACTAAGTGGATATCTGACCTCAGGCTAGCTGTCTTGACATTTTACATGATAAATGTCTTAAGAGAGTACAAAGCTTGTTACAGCGAGTTCCATTTTAACCGCAACAGCTCAGAAAATTCCCATCTACGTACCAAGTGAGATTCAAATCTATCGCTAAATTTAATTCTGCTTTAGTTTGAATGCTCTTTTGATGGCTAGAATTTTGCGATTTTGCAAGGCAGGCCTATTTCTCCACAAGGCATGAAGGTTTGGATTTTGCGAGGGCGTATTTTGGAGGTTTTGTTGCATTGGGCGTCAGTAGTAGCACTCAGTGAAAGAACCATTCTAAGAACAATTACGCATTATACGATATTCTCATGGTAACAGTGAAAGGAAGTGTTACAGTAACACGTGCAAAAGCGTGGGAAATGTTTATATTGCACTATCAAAAACTGCGATGATGTCCGACTTCACACGAACAGTTTTCTTGACATTTTACTCGATAAATTCGGTGACGAAAGTGTATAGTTAATGAAAGTACGCGAGGTGTTTTCATCTGCAGCAATTTATTCTAAGGAATGAATGAAACTGAAAGCTTTGCTGACGGGAAGGAATTCTTAACCACATATTGCTGATTTATTATATTGCTCATTCACCTGTTTGAACATACCTTTTTTAAAAATATTTTTAGACTTCCGTCGACTAATTTTCTTCGGGGCATTTTGATATGAGGATCGGATGTTTCGTGGAAGTGGTTGTGGTTGATGATCATGATAAAACTGCAGTTTGACCATTTTGTTGTTTCACTTCCGATCCTAGCTTTGAAGGTTGACAGTAAAATAACTTCAGTACCCGCACTAACAATTTTGAGAGTTTAATATTCATTTGTTTGACGCTTGATGTTCTGTTTATAATAAAATGATGACCTCATTTCTCGATTCTGTATCAACTTGACCCTTCGACTGCGTAGTTTTACTTTGATTGCTGACATTGCTGAGGCCTTATATATTGATATTGGACCGAGCTGACTTAGCGGTCCCCTTGAGAATATTTCATCACTGTTATGCTTTCCAGCAAACTGTCTTGATTCGTCGCCACGAAAACACAAATCGACGTGTATTGAGTGGAACGGACTCAATATTCAGCTGTTTTTGTACTGCAGTTTCGAGTTTAGATGCTGTAGGTACCGGCCTAACAGACTACAAATGCAACACAGTTCCTGATTTTGCGAACCGTTACACGCAAACTAAGTAAACACATAATTTATCACTGTATAATAATAAATATAATTTATGCTTAGAAGCTTCCGTTGCCCAACTGATGTAATCCTATATGAAACATAAAAAAGTATTAACACAAATATTTAAGAAGTTTTAGTTTCTAAGTTTTCTTCATTCAGATTGTACATTAAGTTCAAAGATTCTTGAACTTGTCTTCAATAATATTCCGTGAGTGTGACTGATCCTTCGTGACGCTGAGTTATCACGGAATCCATGCTCTTTTGTTTTACGCAAACGCAATTGAATCACTCGGCAAGGACTAACGGCTAAATGTGCTTGAAAACAAGTACAATACCATAAATGTCCAGTGATAAAGCCTTCTTAATAACAAAAAAATGGGGAACAGACTAAAAAAAGCCGTGTACTGAGTCACAATCAATTAATCGCACTGCCCAGATTTTTGAGATTTTTTCAAAGAAAACAAAATGGTAATACTGCAAGATACAACGTGAAAAGAAAAATGCCAAAAAGAACCACCAAAACCCTCATAACGGGCAAGAGACCTGGTCCTTTTCTTAAGGACTGAATATCGAATATCAAGTGCTTCTTTTATTTTGCTTCCGCATCGAAAGATCCCAACTGTATGCGAACAACGATATTGTTCTCTGATTCCTATATGCAGTATTGACTAAGGCATAACATTGTAAAGCTTGACATCAAGCACGAAGCTTAAACATTTTTTAGATACTTAAGATTCAGTCTCAGATATTGAGACAAAACAGGTTAAAAAAGTGCCATTTTAATCGAAGGTCTGGACTATGCGGTCATGGCATTTTACCATGTTTCGTTATGGCATGTAAAGGTCGACTTGTCTGCAGGCAGCCTCCACACTACGCCGGAGGAATTTGCAAACGCAGCAGCTGCTTTATTCCTACGGTGAGGCCTACCGTCCACACTAATCCGTCACCAAAACTGAGCTTTTCGAGGACGCTCTTAAAACCGGAGAAATTCGAAAACGCCGGCTTTTAGTTTTCGTGTAGACGCAAAACATTTTGAAAACGGAGCTTTTTGAAAACGATGGCGTCACGATAGTTATGTGATTTCCCTGACCGAGTTTTACCCAAACGCAAATCCAAAATGACCAGTGATATGTTTTCAGAATGAAACCTCCGTTTTCAAATTCCTCTGGCGTAGTGTGGAGGGGCCTCAAAAAGCCATGCATGAAAATACGGTGTTCCTCCAAGTTTACATTTCCAGAGAGATGTTTGTCGTAACAAGTAAGAAAACACTTTTATTTACACGCCGTTTTTGCTTAAAGCTTGCCAAATCTTGTTTATTATACCATTGACTACACTGAGACAAATTTGTCCACAGAACGAGCTTCACAACGCAAACAAATACTCACAAAGCATTAAGACAATGGTTATCTCGACACGGAGTCCAGTGTTGATATTTAGGTTTATAATGAATACGAAAATATTGCTTATGATTAATTGGACCCAAGATTTTCATGTTCTATTAAATCGCTCAGCCGATATTTTTGTAGAAGATTTAATTTCTACCGATTTTTCCACCCCGGTCGATCCGTGACAACAATCAATGAAGGGTGTATTTGTTACTTTCTCAGTTGACCTATTTTTAAGCGGGAAATAGCACCACTGTCATGGAATATGTGGTTCCTCTTAGTTTCTTCGAAATTCATTAAGATTTATGGGACCTCTACTTGCCTAACTTCATTATCAGAGAGGTGCGTTAGGCCGACACCATAAGCCTATTGAAATCTGACAATGCCCGATGTAACGGCAAAATTCTGCGGAAACTGAACCAATTGACCGCGGAAACAAAGTTTGTCCAGTTCACGGCTCTGGCGAATAGCTTTTCGCAAACGCTCCTCAAACCGGAAGAATTTAAAAACGCCGGCTTTTCGTTTTCGTGTGGACGGGAAACATTTCGGCTTTTTCCGAAAAGGATGACCTCACGGTAATCATGGGATTTCGTTGACCGAGTTTTCCTCAAACACAAATCTAAAATGACCGGTGTTTGTTGCGTTTTTAAATTCCTCCGGCGTAGTGTGGACGGAAAACCATTTCACGCGTTTTCAGAGTGAAACCTCCGTTTTCAAATTCCTCCGACGTAGTGTAAACGGTGCCTGTATCTCGAAACGTCAGCTTAACAAAGTCCCCACGGCGATTAGTTTTACCATCAAATTCAACTGAAGTTGATAGACTAAATAGCTTATTGTTTAACTTGCCCGGTGAGCCTAACCTTGGTTTAGAAACTAACAACACTAATATCTTAAAAACCGATTTGTAACGAGGTGGTTCCATGATAAATATAAAAATGTTACAGTGGTTGAGAAAAGCTATTAAAAATCTTTTAAGGGGTGATAAAAAATATAACGAACTACCGGTAATTTCCTAATATA